CTAGAAACTAGAAGCTATTATTAAATGCACAATATTTCCAATGCTTGTGACCATCTCAAGGAGTTTTGATGCAAGCTTCGATGCATGGGAAATGACAAAATCTTTATGACAAAGTCAAAGATGAGGCTTTTCACTTATTGATGAAACTCTTGATGTTTGTCGATCTTGAATACGAGCCGATCTTTTTAGCTAAACGAGCTGGTCTTGAATACGAGCTGCATCATATGGGCAAGAGCCGGTAGCGATTGGGACACAAATGATCAATGACTGTCATGGAAACTTCATCTTTCGATTTGTCTTGCATGGAGATGAAGTTGGAATTAATACTAAGTGATAGTCTCAATATATAGTTCATCACAGTTCATCAACGCATACGGTAACTAATGCTTCTATTGCCATTTAAATAACAAAGAAGCATGCTCGTGCTCTGGGACGGTTCCATTTGGTCCCTAACCTGTTCTCAGGAGAGCACCTTTGCTCCTCTTCCCGAACATTTATAGTAGAACTAGGGCGAGCTCCCTAGCATGCCTTTTTAAGGATGGTACTCGTGGCCATCCCCAGTGGAGCATGAGGTGATTGGCTAGCTGCGTCCCAAGGGTTTTGGAAAATAGCTTAGTTAAATAAATGGATAAGTGTACTGGAAGTCTTAAAATTTATCATAAAAGTGTAATTAAATCCTAAAACTTTCAAAAAGTACAATCAAAACCTAAAACTTGTGTCTGCAATCAAAACATAAAACTTGACACAAGTTTTAGGTTTTAATTGCACTTTTTGAAAGTTTTAGGACTCGATTTTATTTTTTTTAAGTTTTATGACTTAAATGCACTTTCATGACAAGTTTTAGGAATTGATTGCACTTTTTGAAAGTTTTAGCAATTACACTTTTATAACAAGTTTTATGACTTCTAGTGCACTTATCCCTTTATTTGACCAAGCTATTTTCCAAAACCCTAGGGTGGTGAATAAGACTTGGAAATCATGTGAACAGGAACCTTCACTTGCTTCAACTTTATTGTAGTCTGCTGCAACCTTCATGGTATCAATATGCATTTATAGAGAAAAAAAAAGGCTTATGTTAATTGACGGCGTGGCCTTCGCTAGTCCTGAGTGAGGGTCACGGCCGTCGCTCAGATTTGGCAAGGGCCTCGAAGCCCTCGCCGACCCTCGCCTATGATCGGTGAGGGTCACCCGGTGACCCTTGTCGGACTTGGAAGAAGAAAAAGAAAAAGAAAAAGAAAAAGAAAAAGAAAAGGAAAAAAGAAAAAACTTGAAAATTCAAAATAATATTAAAATATGATTAAAAATTGTCCAAATTAGCACCGGTTGTATCTTGTAGGACGATTGTCCATGTCAGCAATTGCCAGCTAAAATTGGCTAGACGGACTCAATTAGCAAAAAGTGAAAATTTTTATGACTCAATTGGCAAATTAAATTAAAATATTTATGATTGAATTGGCAAAAGTGCAATAGGTTTAGAATTTTTTGAGCAATTTTCTTTGGAAGAGTGATATGACCAGTGAACAGTGTGTGTGTGTTTGACCTGAATAAAAGTCTAAAAGAGTTTGGTTAGAGTTTCGGTGAATACTATTCATTTCTTTCTTCCTCGAATTAAATAAGTACATAAATAAGTAGATTTATTTATTTATTTGAAATTTGGGGACTAAAAGTCGTCCCACTCTACCGGTGAACGCATTCAAGCATCGATATCTCCACAATGTTCTCTACGATTATCCAAATTACTAAATATTTAGAGATTTCTAGTTTTCTTTTTGTCTGTTCTACTCAAACTCTCAACTCACTTTCAGGCTTTTGCCTTGTCTCTTTGCAAATCGTGAGAATCGAAACCTACATCTTAAACTAAATGTTCCTACTCCTAGCCCTCCCTGAGAAGGTGGGGAATTGAACTCCCCGTCTCCCCCTTCCCAAGTAGGAAGGGTGGCTATTAGGGCAAACTCCAGTGGTTAGAGATTTCTAGTTGACTTGAACTTGTTTTTGTCTTCTCCACCGTATTTAAAAATTAGTGTGGAATTATTTGAGATTAGCTCACTAATTAAGGTCAAATTATTTGAGATTAGCTCGCTTGATTTGCTCTTAATTTTGTGGATGAGTGGAGGTGTGTGCTATTGAGCTGAGTGTTTAAATTGTATGATACGTTTTCGATTTTAATAAGCTTTGATTGAGTGTAAGATCACCAGCTGAAGTTAGGGACCCGTGGTGCCTCCCTAAATATATGGTTTTCCTGCATTTATGAAAAGTTAGACAAAATATTATACATCACCCTCCCCAAACCCAAGTTTCATCGACCACATGCCATTGCTTGGAATTGTTTGATTATGATAGCTGAGGAGACCTTAATAGTCAAACATATCTTATTGGGTTTAATCTCAACACTTATTAAATTACAATCAATTGAACATTGGTGCAGTTATATCCAACGTTAGAGAATTTTCAGATTAAGAATTGGAGGTCACTTGTTTAAATCCTACCAACTGTGTGTAAATTGGTCAGGACCAGGGCTGATGCACTAGCCAAAAGTATGAATTGGACTTAACCGGTTCACGGAGCTTGCAAAGTGTTCAATGGGCCTTCCGGTAATTGATCTCCACACTCGTTCCCCTGAATTATAAAAGCAAGCCACAGTGAGCTCGATTTGTGCCGAAATGGCAAGGATGAACCCAGAATCAAGACCCTGAGGCATGATGCATTCAATTCCCAACTTCAACATCAATCTCTCATATCCCAAATTTTTCTAAACCCGAGCTCTCAATTTGAGCTTGAGCATTGCATTTGAATCTGAGTTCAACTCTACTTTTTGAAGAACATGTTGCTAGAACCCGTACTAAACTTTTAGATAGAGTCTCAGCTGTTTATGCATTAGCTTGAATAGTTCAGAGAAGGCCCCTCGTTATTAACGACCATCCGATTCCGTTAGGGGACTTTGAAAAGTTGCCATGTTCTGCTGGAAATAGTCAATATGCATCCTTCATTTGCTATATGGTTAAGCTAGCAATCATATGACTTTTTGTTAAATTATTGGGCTAGGACCGGCAATTTTCAGCATGACCCCTTTTACATAAGACATAGTGAATCGTGTTTCCATTGCGCTTAAGCGTATTTGTGTCATGAGCGAGTCAGTCCATTTATATACGAAGAATCAACATGTTGTTTCACGGATTTGGTTTTTTCGCTACATTTGTGACACGTTTAGACACGTACCGATAAATATGTTAGCATATCACACGTATCGACACTAGACATTTGGATGCATTTAGACATGTTTGATTAAACAGATTTAGCACGTCACTTAGGATAGCACAACACATTCAGATACATTGGAAAATGTTTTGCGCCAAAAATTCCGTGACTTGAGAACCACGTAATTGATATATGGAGATACGACAAAACTAATAAAACGTATCGTGTTGTTGTCAAACCAAATGTTGACACGACACCATGAGGACACAAGAACACGAACTTCAAGTGCAATCACGACCTTGAAAGAAATTCCAAATACTTAAAGAATAGCGTGATCTCTACGTTTGAACACAAAGTAGTTTTGCCCTATATGTCTACATCTAGCACTACTCCTCATGCGATGGTGGAGAACACTCTTTTTCGTTGATCATTTACTTCAGGGATTGAGGTTTCGTTTTGCTCTTTAATGAAAGCCCAGCGGAAAGATTTTCTTCGGAGTGTTTACATGGAGATACATGACCGCGCAACTCACATTTCGAATGCTTCGATACGATGACTAATAAAAAAAAAACAGTAAAAACCAACTTACATGATCTGAAGCTGCAATATCATCTGGGCCGATGTGATGCGGGAGCATCGGGCTTTGTCGACCGATCAAGTTGGAGATGTCTATTATTCAAGAGGGTTATCGATTCAATTAACAAGTTGTCGATTTCAAGATTACCGATTACGGATTGGCTACCGAGATATCAATACACAAGTTTATTGTCGATTTCGAGACTCTCTATTGACTACCTAAAGACTGGAGGGTATTCTATCAATGTTTGGTGATCTCCTACGATGATTATTTGGCTCCCAACGATGACGACCAAATTTAGAGTCTAAGTTCAATCATTTTACATTTGATCAATTATAGTTACTCTTAGTTTTAGGAGTCTTAAGTGTGTTGTAGGATTCAAGAGTCCAAGTTTAGGTCTCTAGGTGTTTTAATACATTTTCTAGTTACTAGGTCTTTATTGTATTTTCAAGTTCCATGTTATTAATATTGGGTAGTTCCCATGTCTCCAATGCTTAAGCTATTTCATATGTAATAATCCCTCTATATAGCGAGGCGAATTCTCAAATATACGGAAGTGGAATTTGAAAATTAAGAATATATGAGACTTTCCTCTATGTGAGCGAATATCTTTGGAAAGTGAATAACTCCTATCTCGGCATCTGTAAATTTGAAAAGTGGATTCTTCCTTGGTGGTAAGCCAAAGAAATATTGTATCCTCGGCTAGTGATATTTTGTAGGCCTTGATGTGAGCTTTTCCTATCATGAAGTCCTGTATTCACGGATGGTGATTTTTTATAGGCCTTGGTGATAAACTTCATCAATCCCGATCGAGATCCTTGGTTAGTGGCATGTCCTATATACCTTGATTCTGGTCGTATTTTATCCTACTTCTATCCGTTCATCCATCAACACACATTCCAGAACACTCTTATTCCATTGACATCACTCAAAGCGACCTTGCCCACCCCCGCAATCGCATCACGATGCAAGAGGAGAAATACGTCAAAATGAAGTGGTGACAGGAAAGATACCTTTTTACTTGTGCCTAATAAACGCTTGCTGAAAAATTCTGATTCGTTCATATGATTGTGTGAAGACATACTTGTGACAAATTCAACATCGATTTTTTCCAAAGGTTACCTTCTCTTTTGTATTTATATCTCATAATCTAAATTTGAATAATAGAGAGCAGACTCATTTATCATAATTGAAATTCATAGATATGTATATCACTCTTGCCCAAGGAAAAAATTAAAAAGGCACTATTTATTAGTTGTGGTATGAACCCACAAAGGCATTACACAACCCAATTGTCTTGATTTAATTATTGAAAAGGAAAATTTTCAAACTTTAGCGCAATGGATAGGTCTTCTGGCAACCCCGAGAGCATGAATCCGCACAAGCTTCAACCTTCTTCGTGTCCAGTCTAGCTTTTTTGGTGTCTGTATGAGTTCAAATATGAAACAAGAAATTTAAAAAGTCACATCAAAATTGAAATTGAATTTTTTAGCAAAAGCATATGTTGAAGTCCAAGGAAATGAAATGATTTAGTACGCAACCAACCTCTCCTAATTAAAACATAATAATGAAACACTGATAAAGAAACAAGATTATACAATGACTTTCTTGGTTTTAGGGATCTCAAGAAGTTACGTTATATTTTTGATCTCGAAACAAAGATTATTACCTAGATGGTAGTTAAGGCAAGTAGATAAGAAACAACCAACATCGCAATGCTCTGATGCCAGGGATGTCAAAGACACTTTAGGGCATTTCTTGAGGCATTTGGGAATGCATACAAATGGCAAGGGATCGCCAGCACACAACAATGCACAGGTCGTTTTGCACGATGCGGATGCCACGTCGACATTGATGGATGACCACAGTCTCAGAGCTGTCACAAGCATCGTCGACCCCATTCTCTTGGATGCTGTTACCTCCATGGCTATTCCCACTTAAACTATTTGTAACCTCTCTCTCTCTCTCTCTCTCTCTCTCTCTCTCTCTCTCTCTCTCTCTCTCTCTCTCTCTCTCAATGATTCTTAACAGCTTTGTGAGCTAGTGCAGGATGCATTAAGATGAACAAGTCTGCCACCAATAAATACTCAGAGATGCATTCAAGTCATTGAATAAGTATATGACAGGTCGTCTTGCACGATGCGGATGCCACGTCGACATTGATGGATGACCACAGTCTCAGACCTGCCACAAGCATCGTCGACCCCATTCTCTTGGATGCTGTTACCTCCATGGCTATTCCCACTTAAACTATTTGTAACCTCTCTCTCTCTCTCTCTCTCTCTCTCTCTCTCTCTCTCTCTCTCTCTCTCTCTCTCTCTCTCAATGATTCTTAACAGCTTTGTGAGCTAGTGCAGGATGCATTAAGATGAACAAGTCTACCACCAATAAATACTCAGAGATGCATTCAAGTCATTGAATAAGTATATGACTATACGGTAAGAAGAGGAGAAATACTATCCTTTTCATTTATGAGAACATGCTTGATATGACATCTAATTCTTACCAAATTTCAGGTCCTGTAAAAAGGTGACGAGTTGCTATCTATTGCGAGAATTTCTTTATATGCGGGTACTTGTCAAATTTGATCTCATTAATAAGTTTCTTTCCAAAGGGTCCTAATTTTCTAAAATAAATTTAATTTAATCCTTGACAAATTATTTGATTCTAGTGTTATCATACCGATTGATACTGTGATCCTATATTCAATTTATTATTGCTCACATCAATTTCGTTGATGTTTTATTATCCGTGTTAAGTTGCGTGATAACTATGGTGATCACCCAATATTAAGATAACTGTCTTGATGGAAAAAGTTATCCAAAGGGGTGCGAATGGGAATATAAATAGGTCTAAGCCAAACTCCTTAGTATATAAAAAAGAAAAACTATCAACATTGAGAGGGCAATTGGCTATAAGTACCATTCACCGATCGTTCAAGTTTCTGTAAATCTAGTTTTAATCGAACTTCATTGATGGCTGGAGGTTAGTACAAAATTTTTCATGTTTCCACATTGGAATGTGTCCATCCATCAATAATCAGAATCTTCGGTCTTTCGCAAATTTGTACCATCTAGTCAAAGAGAGCTCCTTGAGGAAGTCACTTAAGTGAGAAAGGTGTTTTTTTTTTTTGGCTTTTTTGCTTTTGAGTCCTAGACACATCATCTTATCCTTTGAACACTATATAATTTGCATCAAGGACTAAATTGAATTGATTTTACAAAACTAGGACTTTATCGGTAGAGGCCTAGAAAATATCGTTGCATTTTGAAATGGGGTGCATCATTTTTTTTTGTTTTGTATTCACACTGTGAAAGTCTTATATTAAGTAAATTTTCATTATTTAATACAAAGTGAGGAGCCAGACAAGGTAGCATATCAGATCTGAAAATAGGGTAAGTGGATAGGTGGTTGCTATTACTGCCCTAATCAATGTGATCTTGTCTCTTCAACTATGGTAATAAGCCACATACGCAAGGGCAAAAGCCAGTAGTGATTGGGACACAAATGATCAATGACTGTCAGGGAAACTTCATCTTCGATCTGTGAAAGTTCCACCGCGAGAGGGGGTGGCTTGAAGAGAAACTCTTGCATGGAGATGAGGTTGGAATTAATGCCAAGTGATAGTCTCAACAAATAGCTCATCATAGTTCATCAACCAATACGGTAACTAATTGTCGCGACCTAAAAAAATCGGGTTTTCCGATCTTAGGCTAATGGATTACTAGATCAATTAAATTAACTAACCTAGCTCGAGTTCTCCCAAACTCTACCAATTCGCAACTTAGGTCCAATTATGAGCATGCAAATATTTTCAATGGGAGTCGCCACTAATCATTTAAGGTAGGTTGATTAGAAACCTAAATAAAATAGCGGGAGTACTATTTTATTTCTGTGAACCAGAAATTATGGATTCGGGGACTTGGTTACGCTAGATTCCCTAACGCCCTTTCGGTACCAATTTCAAGAAAAATACTTAATTTGACAATTTTGATAAATCCTGACTTAGAGTTCAAAGGTGCAGAAATTTTCTTTTTTGATTTTTTTTTATTTATTTAAATGAAATCTAACCTATATGTAATGGCGTGTAAAAAAATTGACATACGATTAATGCAACCTAACATGCAAACTATATCTCATGCGACGACGTGACCTATTTCTAATGACGGGCATATTATTTTTTTGTATTTTTTTTAATGAAATTCGGAATTAAAAATGCCAATTATCTAAACATGCAATTTTAAACTCAAGAAATTAACCTATTCTAGAGTAATATTTTTGGCATTTTTTTTATCAAAATTCGAAATTAAAATCAAGTAAAAAAAAATATAACCGTTAAATCTTTCGAATTAAGTTTCGATCTGAAGCCTGACAGATCGATCCTAAAATTCGAAATACCCGCTATGGAAATAACTCTATCTAAAGCCTGATAGATAGATTTATTCCCACGTGTGCGGTTGCGGATTAGGAAATTTTCCTAATCGGTCACATCTTGAAAAAATTTAGATATCTCAAATATCTTGGATATATTCAAAAGATTTTGAAAATTCTAAATTCTATCCAAATTTGAAAAGTAATAGATATCCAAGATTTCAAAAAAAGGAAATAAAATCCTAATTGGAATAATGCTTATTATCCAAATATGCAAAATTAGATATCAATAAGCACAAATTAGGCAACCAAATATTCGAATCAAATCGGGATATAATAATTACCTGATCTGCAGATTTCTTTCCTAATTTGAATCTGAAGCGGATCGGGATTGCGGATTGGCGGTGCGTCGGGAGCGGCGGCGTGACGTCAGGAATAGTGGTTGCTAGCGACGGTGACACGACGGGAACGGCGGCGCGGCGGGCGTCTCCGGGCAGCGGCCAACAGGCGGGGACGGGCAACTCTCCGGCGGTTGTGCGGCCCGAGCCCAGCGGCGGCCACGAGCGGTGGGCTAACGGCGGTGCGAGCGGCTACGGGCGCGGCGGCGGTGCGAAGCTTCACAGGCAGCGGCGGCGGTGCGGGGCGGCTCTCCGGCGGTGTGTGGCAGCGAGCAGCGGCGACACAGGTGGGCGCAGCAGGGATGTCCAGGCGGCGGTGGCACCAGCGCGGCGGTGGTGTGCGACGAGGCAGCTGCAGGGGTGCAGCGGAGGTGGCACACGGCGGGAGACGGCAGCGCGCCGCAGGAGGCAGCGGTGCACGGCGGTGGCACGCAGCGGGTGTAGCAGCGCGCGGCGGGAGAGGACGGAGGCTTCGCAGGCGGGCGGTGGCGCGGCAGGCGTGCAGTGGCTGAGGGGCGGAGCAGCTCTCCGGCGTAGTGCGGCGGGCGGTGGTGCGGCGCGGCGGGCGGTCTCCTTCTGTCTCTCTCTCACTTTTCTCAAAATTCTCTCGTATGTCTCTCTAAAAATCCGATCTGAAAAATTATGAGAGGCTCCCCCCTTTGATTATGAGACATAAACATATATTTATAATGTAAACCTAGGTCAATTAGCTGGGCTTTCTAGTCCTAATTGGCTTAGGTTTAGGGTTTAATTTAATTCTAAGTGGGCTGAATTAATTTGGGCTTTTCTTTAATTAAGCATAATGGGCTAATTTAAGCTCAAATTAAGACAACCAAGCCCTTTTGTGTGTGATTTTCGGCCCATGCTTTCCGAGTGAGCCGAGTCTCGTTCGGTGCCCGAGCTCGATTTACGTGATGAATTTTAAGCTCGCTTACCACCGCCGATCCGATGTGAAATGCAGTTAATCTATATGAACCTAAACTTTATGCTATGCGATTTGTAATATTTTTGTTCAGGGGTTAAATTTTAATCCGTAATTTTCTATGCAATTAACCACTAAATGATGCGCCGAAATTTAGGTGTCAACAGCTGCCCCTCTTTGAGTGGAGGCTCGCAGAGGTTTTGCTCAAAGACTGAGACCTAAATTTAAACTATGCAAAATGATGAATGATTTTTTTTAATGCAATGATGCATGATATGCAAACAATAAAGAACGTATGCTAAGGCTTCTCACTTCGTGTAGAGCGGTGAAAGAGCCTTACATACGGATCGCACAAAAAGCGTCCAAGCGAGGGAAAGCTTTATAATGCTTTGACTTCCCTCGATCTCCAAACTTCTGGTCCACTGGAAGTAAGATTCTCGAGGTACTGGATTGCCTATCTGTTACTTGTAGTTTCCTACAGATGCGAAATAGCGCATGATATAAAGAAAGAATGGGATGTGTTGCCCAAACCACTGGGCAATCACTAAAAGGATCATGTCACCTCTTCCATTGGATGAACATGAAATGGGGTGTGCCGCGTACTCCACTTTGCAACACCAAATGAGAAATTATGCTGCCTGTACTACTGGGCAAACATGAAATGGGGTGTGCCGCGTACTCCACTTAGAAACACCAAATGAGATATTATGCTGCCTGTCCTATTGGGCGAACATAAAATGGGGTGTGCCGCGTACTCCACTTGGCAACACCAAATGAGATATTATGCCGCCTATCCTACTGGGCGAACATAAAGTGCGGTGTGCCGCGTACTCCACTTGGCAACACCAAATGATATGTCACCTGTTCCACTTGGAGAACATATGAAAGAGATCATGTCTCACATTCTGGGAAAAGAGAAACAATGAAGAATAATTAGTAGACGTACCTGATTTCTTCTTGTGTTATAAAAATGGCAAAGCCAATTGCATTGCACTTGTTTTTACCTGAAAAAAGGTTAAAACAACACATGCACAAGGGCAGAGAAAACATAATTCATGAATCTGCTTACATTACCAAGCTTCACTGGGGAATTTATCAATAAGAACAACCATTTCGTCATTTTGACAATTTGATCACATTAAATGAGAGACCTTTAATCAGAAAGGACTTTCTACTCACTCTCAATGAAAGGCTTTTGACCCGACCTTTGATGCGGGTATAAGAATCACTCAAACTCTCTTCATCGTGCTTGACAAGGGTTCGGATATTCTCAAA